AATAGGCTTTTAGAGGGTTATGATCCTATTAATACTCATATTTAGAGCTTAAAGTTGCTGGAGCGTCCAGCCTGTAAGAGACATTGTTTAGTATATAACACTGCAATTGAAATGATACACACCGCTTTCTTTTTCCTAGAATTCTGTGAACTTTTTGTTTAGGATGACTGAAAACCTAAATGACCAAATTTATTTATGAGCAGGGGGTGGTAGTGGCAGCCGGTATCCACTTCCAGTTTCAACTTGAAAGTGGTTGTGTCATATTTTAGTCCTCTATTATGTTATTCCATAGTTACCGTAATTTGTTGAAGGAAAAACCAGTTCTAAAACCCCTTCTTCTGGTTTACGTGTACGCATGTTTGCTGAATTCGGTGGGTCGGTTGCTCAAGAATGTGCGAAGTTAGTTTTCTCATATCCTTGCGCTATTTAACTGTTTGCTCTAAATTATTTTTTCGCAAACGCATTTTCTGCTATCCTGGTAATTGTGTCATAAAATCATTCAGTCCTCCGTCCGTCCTAATACTGGATAGGTATGCCACAGCTAATTTCAAAACGTGCTTCACGCTGATAGGGTCCTGCTTTGATGAAAGCCGCTATGTTTCAATTCGGTTCTTGAAAGATGTTTTGACAAGACTAACGTCTTCCTCCTGCTTCACCAGGTGTTGGCTCGGTGCTAGAGACACCGAAGATGACCAACCCATTGATTTATCGGTACCTCCAAATCGCAATACTCACACCACCGGCATGTGGCTGATATTGAAGGTCCTGAAAATAATTGAATTAGATTTAAAAAATTCGCTTAATGTCAACTTACCAGCAAAAGTCTAGCTTGCTTCATCATGGGGGCGGCGGGATCTCCAGCCTTTCGTTTGGAGGCTCTCTTGGAGCTGGGTGTTTGGGTGGTGTTGGATAGCCCCCTCTGCTTTAAAAATCCCACCACATTGGTTACAGATCTTGGAAGATGATTAGCAATCCCATGACGTTTCAGGTTATCTCCTTCCTGGTGAACCATTTTGTGCACAAAATTAAAAATTCGCTGTTTATGGAGGTTTGTTTTAAAGTAAATGAAAAAATAAAACCAGTTTAAATTGGTTAAAGAACCTTCCTAAATTTTAGAAAAAGAAATTTGAGTTTTGTGCAAATGTAAGTGAAAAAGTAAATTCAAGTTGCTGCGTAAAAAACTATTGGAATTAAATTAAGAAATAGGTAGGTACTCAGGGTTGTCTGTATTTTTAAAAAACAAACAATATGTTTATGTGTTAAGGAAAATAAAAATAATTCAATAATCGAGGTTTGTGTTAATTTAAAATATGTCTCAGGGCATGATTTATCCTACATCACTTAGATATTTAAAAATAGTACTTACAGTTTTTCGAAACCGACACTTATCGCCCAAGAAACTAAACTTTGAAAATCCAGGTTCAAAGTACTGGTACTGGATGCTGCGTTTTTTGTACAAAGAATAAAAATTGAATCCTCATCTTTTACAGGTAACAATGTATCCACTGAAATTTTGTATTGCATAGGGTATTGGCTCATAAAATGTCAACGATGCTAATTTAAATCTATTCTTTTAAATTTTGATAAATCGATTGAATTTGTCACCTTTTTTAAAATAAAAATGGACATATCAAATATCTAACTTAATAATTACGCCTTAAACTAAAAAATTATCTTAAAAATGTGTTGTTGTTTTTCTCGGGCGATTTCTGCGAACGGTCCTGATATAATTCAGATAAAAAAACTGCCGAATAAGCGTTTACATTTGACGGTGCTTTTGTATGTGATATCAAAGTTTAAATCGGATTTTATAATAACAAGCTTCTTTCAGTTTGCTCAAACTCGTCACCAGTGAAAAATATAAAATTATTGCACAACAATTATCATTTTAACCAAGTAAGTAAATATCTTATATACTAATATCAATCAACAACAAGACCTGTTTTTTATAGCAAAGGATTAAAAACACTGAGAAAATTACAAGACCTGAAGCCTGATATAGAGTGAAATTCCCAATATTTTGGCAGCGTTTTTTGTATGTGATTACTTCAAAGTTTAAATCGGATTTTATAATAACTAAGCTCTTTTAGTCTTGTTTGAAACTCGGTGAACTATAAAATTATTGCACAACAATTATCATTTTAACCAAGTAAGTGAATATCTTATATACTTACTAATATCGATACAATTATGAATATTTTAGATATGGATTTGAAATCAATCAACAAGACCTGTCTTTTTATAACAAAGGATCAAAAACGCTGAGAAAATTATAAGTCGTCGTAGAAAGTGAGTGTACCCAATATTTTCTACGATACAGACCTCAAAATAATTGCAAATCTTTACTGGAACCAGTAAACTATACAAATTAAGGTAGATCAACAGATGTCAAGCGAAGTTCGAATTAAAAGGGGTGCCCACAGTGTTGTATTCTTTCTCGTCACAGTGAGGATTATAAAATTATTGAGCAACAATTATTATTTTAACCTAGTAAGTAAATATCTTATATACTTAGGTAATCGATACAATTGTAGCATATTTTTAGCTATGGATTTGAAATACTCGTTGAATTTGACAATAACGCAGTGTTGCTCCCAAGACGTACCACCAAAATGATTGGATCATATTAAGCAGTTTATTGATGGAAAATATTCGCTTTTTGAAATCGTTGTCTTAAAAAATGTATGTTTTTAATAAAAAAACGAGGCCCCTTTCCCATCAAACGTTGGTTCCAACCAAGGATAATACACACTACTACTACAGGATAGCCTATCCTCCTAAGGCCTGTGTGGAACAAATCCACTCTCTCCCCAACGTTAAATCACCAGTTGTGACGTAAGCAGCATGTTATTTCTCGCCTTGACGTAGGTTGTTTAAACAGCTGATGACTTAGTTATGGCGTCGTAAATGGTAACACACGAGGTCAATGAGCAATACTGTAGGTGTGTATCATCCTTAAGTTCGAACACCCTCTACCAGGTACAACATGAAGCTAGCTGCTGGACCCTCATAGTTACGTCACCACCACAGCATCCTGTTATAAGACACATCAAACTTGACACATGTACTCTAAATGGCGCCACGGACGTAACCCAGGTCGCTATGACGTCATCACAGAACCCGAACCATGAATCGAACTTTGCACTATGTACTCTAAATGGCGCCACGGACCCGCACTGACGTAACCCACGTGACCCAGGTCGCTATGACGTCATCACAGAACCATGAAACGAACTTCGCACTATGTACTCTAAATGGCGCCACGAACGTGACCCAGGTCGCTATGACGTCATCACAGAACCTGAACCCTGAATCAAACTTTGCACTATGTACTCTAAATGACTCCACGGACGTGACCCAGGTCGCTATGACGTCATCACAGAACCCGAACCATGAATCAAACTTTGCACTATGTACTCTAAATGACTCCACGGACGTGACTCAGGTCGCTATGACGTCATCACAGAACCCGGAACGACTCAAAACTCCCGCTATGACGTCATGACGTTTGACAGATGACGTTTGACAGGTGACGTTTGACAGGTGACGGTTGACATGATGGCGGGAAAACCCTTCTCCCCCCCCCCTTTTTCTGTTACCCATATTAAAATCCGGGGGCCCCTTTTTGGGGGGCGGAGCCCTACGGGTGCAGGTCCCATGGCGCCATCTGTCGACAAGATGGCGCCATGGCGGTGCATCCACCTTCGTGTCAACGACGGCGCATCCACCACGTGTCAAGAATGAAAGATTGAGGTTATGGTCGGATTTTGGTCCTAGAATCCCTGTTGCTGTACTACTAGTATAGGACATTTCACAGGAAATAAGTGTGGAACTTTCGATTGAATTCAGAAATGTCAAAATAGACGGGAAGTGCCATTAAGGCCCGGTTTATTCATCTTTAGATAAACTGGCTGGTAACTATCTTCAAGATAAATTTACCGTTCTATAATTTTATTGGTTGGCGGATAACTGGCCGACAAATGGAAAAACAGATTGCATTTTTATCCATCAGATTGCATACCTGCTGACAGTTTATCAGAAGGTGAATTGTTGCTATAGAATCATGAATAAAAATACGGGAATGACTTTCCTGGCTTAGGCCGAGCATTAAGTACCGCTGGATAATCGAAACACGTATCAATCGAATCTGAAATTCTCTTTTCATGCTAATTAGTTATGCGTATTATGAAAAAATTCTCGGAAAAAATAGGGTTCATGTGTAGAGTAGCTAGATATTCAACTAACATCATACACAAAACGTTCGTTATACAATAGCATTGCTGAGCTCCATTTGAAATTTTATTCAAGCTTGTTGTACAATGTACCAAATTACAAAATACAAGAATTTATATTATACTTGTTTTTGGCTAGTGACCTCGGTAATGATTCGATTAGTTTTCTTAAGTTGGATTCAGGTCAATAAAACAGCGTTGGAGATGAAAAATTTTGTATTTGCCGACGTTTCGACCTAAATTAGGTCATCCTCAGGGCACTAAAAATTAGGATAATAAATGACAAATGCAAAACAAACAATAAACAAATAAATAAATAAACAAATAAAACCACAGTTACAATACACAGTTCTTAATAGTTTTAACAGCTAATATTACTTACATTCAAGTTATCACTCCAGTGTACAAATTAAAATGGTGGTAAGGAACATGTTAACAATTTAATATAAAACATAATAGGCACTTGTGGACTCGACTCATAATGTAGACAGTAAAAAAAAAAACAAAAAATAAAACAAACAACACAGTATTAACGGTAATTAAAAAAAATAAAATAAATTGATACAGTCGAACCGACAAAAAGAGAGGGATGATTTAAGGTTCTAATTGTTCGACCGTCTACCGTATAATGTTATTGCAAATTATATGTAGGTACTCAAGTTGGAGGTTCTTGCTTGTCGCTTGGTGTTCGACGAAATAAAAAAGAAAAGAAAAAAAGGAGGCATGCAGCCGATGAGAATACCAATAATAAACAATTATCATTTGGTTCTATGTAGGATGTTGTATAGTTTTTAAAAGATTATGGTATACCATACTCAAACCTTCAACGTCCTGCTTTTTGTTAATATTATAGGGGTGTTTTCTAATTTCAATCATTTCATTTAATAATCTTTTTTTATAATTAATTTGCTTTCCCAAAATAGCAACATTGTCAAAATCAAAGGCATGTTGTTCAACTTCGAAATGTTCCGCTAATGCAGTTTTATTATTTGTATTCAAAATATTAGCAGGTCTTATACTCCGTTTGTGTTCAGACATTCTTGTTTTCAAATATCTTGCTGTCAGAAAAGGTGGCTAGACAACTTACCAAAGACAATATAAAAGTCGCATTTAAAACTGAAAATAAGGTGAGAAAACTTTTTTGCAAGCAAAAAACTAAAATTTCACAAGACATGGAAAGTAATGTGGTCTATCGGATACCTTGTAATGAATGTAATGGTGTCTATATAGGCCAAACAGCAAGATATTTGAAAACAAGAATGTCTGAACACAAACGGAGTATAAGACCTGCTAATATTTTGAATACAAATAATAAAACTGCATTAGCGGAACATTTCGAAGTTGAACAACATGCCTTTGATTTTGACAATGTTGCTATTTTGGGAAAGCAAATTAATTATAAAAAAAGATTATTAAATGAAATGATTGAAATTAGAAAACACCCCTATAATATTAACAAAAAGCAGGACGTTGAAGGTTTGAGTATGGTATACCATAATCTTTTAAAAACTATACAACATCCTACATAGAACCAAATGATAATTGTTTATTATTGGTATTCTCATCGGCTGCATGCCTCCTTTTTTTCTTTTCTTTTTTATTTCGTCGAACACCAAGCGACAAGCAAGAACCTCCAACTTGAGTACCTACATATAATTTGCAATAACATTATACGGTAGACGGTCGAACAATTAGAACCTTAAATCATCCCTCTCTTTTTGTCGGTTCGACTGTATCAATTTATTTTATTTTTTTTAATTACCGTTAATACTGTGTTGTTTGTTTTATTTTTTGTTTTTTTTTTTACTGTCTACATTATGAGTCGAGTCCACAAGTGCCTATTATGTATTATATTAAATTGTTAACATGTTCCTTACCACCATTTTAATTTGTACACTGGAGTGATAACTTGAATGTAAGTAATATTAGCTGTTAAAACTATTAAGAACTGTGTATTGTAACTGTGGTTTTATTTGTTTATTTATTTATTTGTTTATTGTTTGTTTTGCATTTGTCATTTATTATCCTAATTTTTAGTGCCCTGAGGATGACCTAATTTAGGTCGAAACGTCGACAAATACAAAATTTTTCATCTCCAACGCTGTTTTATTGACCTGAATCCAACTTAAGAAAACTAATCGAATTTATATTATATTTATCCTATTGTTGATGCGTCTCTACATATCCATCCTGTAGTCCCTGGTCATCCCCTGTATAAATAGTACTGTTACGAAATTGCCTCGGGAGCCCAAAGCAGTACCTTAAGTGAGTCAGTTTTGAGTCGATATTTGTCATGTATGTTTCGATAAGTGATAAGTGAATTTCGTATGAAGTCAACTAGTATAATAAAAGTTGTTACTGTTTATTAAGTGAGTTTTAGTGAACCCGGAGTCCGTGACAATTTGGTGTCAGATGTGCAAGTATTAGTGAGGCAATTGGTGCATTGATTTGAGCTAATTGGTGGAATCATTTAGCAAGTTAATAATTAATGGTGCAATAATTTGAGCTGAAATGATTGGCAAGATAACTACTGAAAACTTTTATTGAACTGATGTAATGAATTTATTACCGGATTTGACAACGAAAAACAACCTCACAAGTGGATTTTCTGGAAAATGCTACAAACTTCTATATAATTCTACTTGGAAACCGTAAGGGATACCTACAAGAATAGTGACTTGATATCACTGGATTTGACAACGAAAAACAACCTCACAAGTGGATTTTCTGGAAAATGCTACAAACTTCTATATAATTCTACTTGGAAACCGTAAGGGATACAAAAATTGGCTTTGACAATTTCTATAGCATTCTGTTTGGAAACCGTAAGGGATACAAAAATAGTGACTTCATTACTTGCTTCGACATCGAAAAACAAGCTCATAGGCGCATTTTCTATTAAAAACTAAACCTTTATGGAATTCTATTTGGAAACCGTGAGTGGTAGAGGAATAGTAACTTCATTACTGATTTCAACATCGGAAAATACGTCCACAGAGTGATTTTTCTTATCTAAAAAAGATCCACAATACTCTACGGTAAATAGAGAACATCAAACAGCCAAAATGGAGCAAGTTAATCAAATGTTGGCGTATTTCATGGAAAATTTAGATGATAAGAGACAAGAAGAGGAAGACCGACAACAAAAAGAGAAACAAGAAGAGGAATGCCGAAAACAGAAAGATAAACAAGAAGTACAAGACCGGCTCACAGCACTTTTACAACAACATGAAGATCGAAGACAGAAAAGAAAACAAGAAGAATATGACCGGCTTGCAGCACTTTTACAACAACAAGAAGACAGAAGACAGAAAGAAAACAAGAAGAAGAGGACCGAAGGCTGAATGGAATATAAGAAGAACAGGACCGGCTTTCAGTACTTCTACAACAACAAGAAGACCAAAGGCATAAAGAAAGACAAGAAGAGGAAGCCGGCAGACGAGAAGAACAAGACTGGCTTCAGGAAAATTTTAAATTCTAGCGAAAATGGATGCAAATCGTAATCTCTGAGGAACAAACGGACTCGAGAAAATTCTGGAACTACAAGATAATAAATTCACGAATGCAATGGAAGAAGTAGGTAGGTACGTGTAGAAGTTCGCGAAGAAGTTGGGAGTGTTCGACACGAAATTCATCAGGAAAGTGGGAATGTTTGGCAGAAAGTCGGAACCATTCGTCAAGATATGGATAGTTTTGAGAAAAAGATTATAAAATTCGAATGTGACTTGACGTCGAGAAATCTCTCAGCCTCGCCTGCACCTGGAAATAAAAAGTTAAGCCACCACCCTATGAAGAACAGACATTGTGGGCCATGTACAGACGTTAGTTCGTGACTGTTACAATAACTAATGGCTGGAGCTCCGATGACTTGGTTACAGGCTTCATTACAGCATTGCGTGTCCCTGCCTTAGACATTTCAGATACTCTTTCGCCAGCTTCCCAACAAAACTATGAGGCGCTTGTTGATGCGTTGGAGCGTCATTATAGAGACCAACTCCAAAGGCAGCTTTACCAGGTACAACCACGAACAAGGCTACAAGAAGCTGCAGAAACGCTCCAAGAATTTAAAACCGTCTCGTTTATTTGGCCCACCCTGAAGCATCAGCAGAAATACTAGAACAACTAGCGGCCGAAAAATTTATATATGGAATTAGAGATATGGATGTACAGAGAATCGAATAGCAACGAAGCTCTAATCAAAGCCCTAGAAATCGAGGCGGCCTATAAGATTTCTGAAGCAAAGGTTAGCGCTGTGTCGATTCATGAGGAAAAAGAGCCAATGGGAGAAATTATTGGCACCATAGTGAAGGAATTTCTGCACACAAGAAAGATAATCAAACTATTTGGTAATAAAAAGAGGATTATATTCTTCCTACCAAATAATCGAACATCACAAATTACCTTCCTAGTTACAAAAAAGTAATTTTGACAACGCTTCATTGTTTGACTATAATCAACGCTATAACATGTATATTGCTGGTGAAGCCTTTTATTGGCGTTCAACCACGTGGAATTGAATATTGAATAACCCTTAAGTTATTAGATATAAGTTATTGGGAGTTTCCAATAGCTAATGTTGTGCAGTATTGAGTTTAAGTTTTATCATTATCGCTTATCTTTGTAATTTGAGGAGAGTTATTTCAAATTGGAGAACTTTGCCTTATTTTTGGTGCTACTCTCGAGCGTGCGATGTTTTGAACAAAAATAATGTAAAACTTTATTTCCAACGCTTCCCATAATCACACTTTGTCACAAACAAAAAAAAGAAATGCCGACAGCTAGCACAGTTTTAATTTACGGTTTTCAAATATCGTTACTCACAGTTTACCAAAATAACCGGAAAATGGTTACATGTATTGCTTTGCTATATGATTTGTATCGCTTTGGCTCAGAGTTTGACCCAAAATAAAGAAAGTACTTAATGCTTTCTTTTATTATTAGAAAATTATATTTATATTTATAGCATATTTCCAAAATCTACTATGGCACTTGTAGAAAAACAATCCACATTATAGATTCCAATCACCGTTCGCTAAATCTGCTAAAAAAAAATAGTTCCTCGTGTATAATGCAACTATTGACTTTGTATTTAAATTTAACATATGTTTCTATTACCAAGCAATCCAACTTGAAATTTGTCTCTCAATTCCTATGTACCTAAACTTCTCTTGAACATTTATATGCAGTCATATAATTTGCAAGTTATTAAGATCGTGCTATACCCGGATAATAACAATACTTCATGAATAATACATTGAGTAAGCAAGTAGGTACTTGCTTGATTGAGGTTATATTATCGGGTAAGTGTTATTGTTTGGATGTAGGTAGTCTGTCAGCACGTTCATGACTAATTATTGATAAATACCTATCTGCCTGGATAATACAGCAATACATTTGATGTGCTAATTGAAATAAATGACGTATAATTTAAATGTAGGAACGCAAAATGGGGTAATTCTGGATATCGAGTTACAAATTACGCCTAATCGTTTGTGTTATACGTTAGAATAAATTTGTATTCTATTACAATCGGAGGAAAATACCTACTCAATAATTGTGCAAAAGCTCTAGGTTCTGTAGAACCGGTTACGTTTTAGCAAGGTATTTTTTTTTGTGTGTGAAATAACCTATGATAAATAATGGTTCATAAAAAACAATATACTAGTTGGTCATCTCAAACAATCAATACAATAGTTTTAGTTTCTCAGATACTTTTTTTTAGGCAATTGCTGTCCAAGAGATACAAAATTTTGAAATATTTTTGTGAAGAGTAGAACTAAACTTTTGCAAGAACTAGTGAAATAATTTGAAATTCCACATTTTCTTTCTCACTTTTAGTTAAGGACAAATAATAATTCCATCCACACATTGGTTCTTACATGGACAACGTTGTATTTAGACCTAAAACTATTATTAAAATTCTTCTGCGGATTGACACTGGGAAATCTTGTGGCCCTGACGGCATTCCCCCGATTGTCCTCAAACGTTGCGTACAAGAATTGGCTTCAGTTCTTTGCATACACTCTCTTACAATCGAG